CAGGGAAGGCGCCCTGGAGGAGGCAGCATGGATTCCCGTGGCAGTGCCGTGGCAACGGTGGCAGGAAATCACCCCCCTCCGCCTAGCACTGGAAGTGGAGCTGAAGCCCAGAGAGGGTCTTTTGACAGCTTGGGCGTGAGGCCAGCAGAGGGGAGCCCCCGAAGGAAGCGCGTGGGTCCCCATTTCCAAACTCAGAATGGTGACGTGGCCACACCACGGCAGACCCGGCACGGGCTGCGCCGTCTAAACTCAGGGTTGGGGCTCTACTGTACACAGTAAGGCCTTTGAGTCTCTAGGTCGGTTTCCTCTGCAGCAGGGATGCAATAAACTGTCCGAGGACGGAAGGAAGGAAAGAGGGAGGGAGGGAGGGGCTGTAGGTCCAGAAAAGTCCAGAGAAGGGAGTCACAGTGTACGGCTGGGCGACAAGGGCCGGCCTCCTGCAGAGGTGACCCTCGAGGGCCTCGATGCAGAAGCAGCCTGAGAGGGTCCTGTGGGCTTAAGAGTTCCCGGGAAGTGTCCCTCAGAGGCCTCGGGGCCTCTGCGGCACGTCGGGGGCTGAGGTGAAGGCAGGCGCCGTCCCCGTGCCCCTGCGCTCTCTTCTTGTCTCACGGCAATTCTATCACTCGGGGATTCGTTTTTAAGGAAAAGAATACAGATACCTCTTACTTGGCAAATGTTACAAAGCACACTGACGACATGCTGGCGGGTGAACGGTGTCGGGGCCCCTCTCGGCACCCCGAGCCCGGAGCTTCGTGGACCTCAAGCACACGGCCCTCCCCCGACCCGGACCCGGCCCACGCAGCTTGCCCAGACGTGCCCCGGCCACAGGTACTGGGCAGCCGCTGCTAAGGCCCTCTCGGGCCAGGAGTTGGGCTGACCTGAAAGGCAAAGACTCCCTTGACCATGGCCTCCCCAAACACGAAGCTGGAGCCCACGTCCGTGTAGCTCAGGAAGATCTGAAAGCAAAAGACAAAACAATGCAAAAACCCGGAGTGAGGCCAGGAGGGGAAGGGGCACAAACAGTGGCCAGAAAGCCAGGCCGGGTGAGCCGGAGGGACGTCGCCTGCCGTGGGCCCATCCAGCAGCCCGTCCAGCAGCCCAGTGTGGGGGAGAGAGGGTCACCGGGCCTCCCGGGCCTTGCGGGGGTCGGGCACCACCCAGCAGTGCACTTCGTGAACACACGTTCACAGGGGTTTGCTCCCCTGAGCACATTCTCCCCGGGAGACACCTTTTCTGTACACTTTAAGGGAGCACCCTCAGGGGCGCCTGGGTGGCTCAGTCGGTTAGGTGTCCGACTTCGGCTCAGCCCATGATCTCATGGTTCGTGAGTTCGAGCCCCGCGTCGGGCTCTGTGCGGACAGCTCAGAACCTGGAGTCTGCTTTGGATTCTGTGTCTCCCTCTCTCTCTCTCTCTCTGCTCGTTCCCGCTCACACTCTCTCTTTCAAAAATAAATAAACATTAAAAAAAATAGGTGCAAATGATCAGTTTTGTGGTATGTGTATTTACTACAACAAACAACGGAATGAGAAAACAACTTCAAGAGGCACCTGGGTGGCTCAGTCGGTTGAGTGACCGACCTCGGCTCAGGTCATGATCTCATGGTCCGTGAGTTCGAGCCGCGCGTCAGGCTCAGAGCCCGGAGCCTGCTTCAGATTCTGTGTTCTCCCTCTCTCTCTGCCCCTCCCCAATCACACTCTGTCTGTCTGTCTCTCTCTCTCTCAAAGATAAACATTAAAAACTTAAAAAAAAAACATAACTTCAAGAAACTGAACATTATTTTTAAATGCACACATACGACAAAGTAAATCAGTTGTAATTTTTTTTAGCACTTTTAACTGTCACGTGTTCCACATCACTCATGACTGCTGAGGGCCACATGCCTTGCGCCCTCAGTACCCAAGAACCCTCCTGTGCTGAGATTCTTTTCCGCATCAGACCAGCCGCTGGAAGGACAGCTGTCTGCAGGTGGCCCCGGGCCTAGGGGAAGGAGTGGCCACACAGCCCAGCCCCTGCTGCTCACGTGGCCTGGGGCCCAGCGCACCCCCACCGTCCCGATCCCAAGCCCCTCCTTACGGTCCCACCCTCCCCTTCCCCCAGTACAGCGGCTTTTCCCTGGCAACCCGGGTTCCCCTTGTACGCACCTGGATCTGGTTGCCCATCCACTGGAATGCAATAAATCCTGGCTCTGTTCTGATGACGAAGAGTCCAAGTGCAAACTGTAGTCCGAGGCCCCAGGACACAGTCCTCCAGGATACCTGGCACCCGAGAGAAAGGTCCTGGTGAGCTCAGCTCCTGGGGGGATCCACGGGGAACGGCAGGCGGAAAGGGCAGAGAGCACAGTTCTGCTGAGGGGCTTGGGAGTCTTGGCCTCGTCTGCAGGATAGGACTGGACCCAGCCACGACCCTGGGCCTGTTGCCGACGGTCCCATCCACCCTGCGGTCAGAATAGGCCACACTCTTGGCAGTAATGGGCCTGGGGCAGTGGGCAGGGGTGGGGCACGGTCTAAGGACCCATTGCAAGACTCGAGCCGCCTCGAGCAGGCCATAGCCCTCGGTCCCGGTCCTCACCGGGCGGCTGTGGCCTCTGATTCCAGTGTCAGTGTAGCCTCTGTCTGCCTGGACCTCCCCCCATCTCTCCTCCCCAGGCAGGGCTCCCAGCTGCCCTGACCCCCCGCGCCCTGGACGCCCCCACCCCCGGCAGAGGACCGCTTCTGCCTCTCCGCATTTAAGGACTCCTCAGCGGTGACCTTCGAATGCAGGTGCGTGAGGATCTCTGGGAGGCCTGGCTGGAGCCTGCGGGGAGATGTCGGCCACACCACGAAGCGGGGAGGGATCCCGGTTTCGGGAGGCAGGGAGGGAAGGGGCTGCGGCGCACTCTGGGCCTGACGACTGAGGACTCACTGTGCGGTGATGCTTTGAGCAGGCGAAGAGGAGGCAGATGAACACGCAGATTCCTGCAAAGGACACTAGCTGCTCGGGTCGCTGGGAGGTGTCCAGAACCAGCCACGAGACCAGGCCCAGGAAAGCAGCGAGGGCCAGAGTCCTGCGGGGGAGAGGCAGAAAGCCATCACCCTCAGCGTCTCCCCCGGCCCTACACAAGGGCACCCAGGGCTCCAGGGGAAGGGTGCTCAGGGCTGGGGGGAGGAGAGAGCTGTGTGGCCTCACACGGACCACCTAGCCTCTCTGGGTCTGGCGTCCTCGTTGGGCAAATGAAGCCGAAGCCCCACGCTTCTCCTGGTTGCCAGGAGGACTAAAGAAGAGAATGTGTGTGCTGAGCTTTGCACGGTGCCGAGCACGTGGCTCCCTCAAGGGCAGGGATTCTCACAGATGCAGCGATGCTCAGCCCAGCCTCTGACCTTGCCAGGGTGAGGTGGGGCCTGTGGGGCCCAGGGCTCTGCTTCCCAGAAGCAGTAATGTCAGTCCGGGCAGGTGAGCCGAGCTCCTGGGACCAAGGCTGGGAAGCGACGATTTGTTTTTTATTTATTTTTTTTAATGTTCATTCATTTTCAAGAGAGAAAGAGACAGCATGAGCGGGGGAGGGGCAGGGAGAGAGGGAGACACAGAATCCGAAACGGGTTCCAGGCCCTGAGCTGTCAGCACCGAGCCTGACGTGGGGCTCAAACCCAGCAACCACGAGATCATGACCTGAGCTGAAATCGGACGCTTAACCGACTGAGCCACCCAGGCACCCCTGGAAGCAACATTTACAGCCCTGCTTCCCTCCCTGGGGCTGGAGTTGGCTCGCCTGGTTGGGGGGAGGGTCTGGGCCTTGGGTGCTCGAGGTCCACCCCCGACCCAGTCACTGACTCACCTGGTCCTACTAATAACCGCGAATGTTCACTGAGCACCTATTATGTGCCAGGAACTACACCCAGTGCTGGGAGACATACCGTCCCTGCCCTCATTGTACACACGAAGAAACTGAGGCACAGCAAGGTGAAATGACTTGCCCACGGCCACCCATCCAACAAGTAGCAGATTTGAGACTTTAAGCCAGGCACCCGGCAGAAGTTTATTCTCTTCACTAGCTCTGTGCACGACCACTGGTGAGGGGTGGACCCAGGACCAGAACTCACACAGGCCAAGCCCAGAGTTCACTGCTCACTTCTGCCCGTGTTTCTAAGCAGCTAACACCACTGGTCCGCTGCACAGTTTCTGCCCGTCTCTGTGCCACTTGCCTTACTTACTTACTATTTCTCTTTATAAAACTTTATAAAACCTTAAGTGCAGGGGCACCTGGCTGGCTCCTTCAGCAGAGCGTGCAGCTCTTCGTCTCAGGGTCGCGAGTTCAAGCCCTACGCTGGGTGTGGAGACTACTTAAAATAAAATAAATTAAATTAAAAAAAAAAGTCAGTGCATGTTTTGGGTTGGGTTTCTGTTGTCATTTCTTTTTTTTTTTTTTTTAAGTTTATTTATTTATCCTGAGAGAGAGAGAAAGCGCAAGTAGGGAAGGGGCATAGAGAGAGAGAGAGAAAGAATCCAAAGCAGGCTCCTCACTGCCAGTGCAAAGCCTGATGCGGGGCTCGATCTCATGAATCATGAGATCATGACCTGAGCCGAAACCAAGAGTTGGACGCTCAACTGACTGAGCCACCCGGGTGCCCCTGTCATTTGTTTCTTAATGCCTTTATAGAGGTACGACTGGCATGTAATAAATAGATGTTGAAAGTGAACAATTTGGTAAGTCTTGATGTATGTATGTACGTACCTTGAGACCGTCACCACAGTTAAGACACCCAAAACATTCTTCGTGCCCCTCTGTAATTCCTGGCCCCCCTCCTCGTCCCCAGGCAACAACTGATCTGTTCTCTGTCGCTAGATTAGTTTGCATTTTCTAGGATTTTATATAAATGGGATCATAGAGCACATATCCTTTTTTTATCTGACTGCTCTCACTCGACATAACTATTTTGAGATTCATCCATATTTTTTCATGTATCAGGAACTGGTCTCTTTTTATTGCTGTGCAGTATTCCAGTGTGTGGATGGACCATGCTTGGCTTATCTGTTCCCCTGCTGATGGACATTTCGGTAGTTTCCAGCCTTTGGCTATGACAGACAAAGCTGCTAAGAACATTCAAATAGTTACGTGCAGGTCTTTGTACAGATTTATGCTTTCATTTTCCTTGGGTCAATACTACTTGGGTGATGCTTTGGTAAGTGGAATGGGTGAATCATATGGTAGGTCTAACTCTTTAGGAGACCGCCAAACTATTTCCCAAAATTATTGCACAATTTTACACATCCCCGAGCAGGATGTTGGAGTTCCGTTTCCTTTACATCTTTGCCAACACTTCGTAACGTCTATCTTCCAAATTCTAGTCATTTCCAACAGACATAGAGCAGTACCTCTTTGTGATTTTAATTTGCAATTCTCTAATAACTGATGTTGAGCATCTTTCCATGTGCTTATTCACCACTTACGTATCTTCTTGAAAGAATTGTCTGCTCACATCTTGAGCCCATTCTTAAATTGGGTTGTTTTTCTTATTATCGAGCTTTGAGAGTGCTTAATATATTCTGGATACAAGTCCTTGGTCAGATGTGTGATTTGTAAAACTTTTCTCGGAGTCGTGCCTTGTCTTTTTTCTTCTCTTAAGCATGTCTTTTGAAGAGAAGTTCTTAATTCTGATGAAATTCACTTTGTCAAAAATTTTAATAGATTGTGATTTTGGTTTTGTTTCTAAGAAATTTACTTAACTCAAGGGTCACAAAGATTTTCTCCTACATCTCCTTATATTCATTTTATAGTTTTAGGCTTTCAATTTAGGTTTATGATTTCCCGTTGTTAGTTAATTTCCCATGTACTGTGAGGCATGGATTATTATGTCATTATTTTGTTTTTCCTCTTCTTCCTTCCGCCTATGAATATACCATGGTTTTAGCATAATTTGTCAGTATGATTATGTCTCCTTTGAATTGCCTTAGCACCCTTGTCATGAGTCAATTGGCCATATACATGTGGATCTATTTCTGGACTGTCTATTCTATTCCTATTTGGTCTCTCTTGTCTGTTTTGATTCAGATACCATATTGTCTTGATTACTGTAGCTTTACAGTAAGTCTTAAAGACACATAGTAGAAATTCATCAAACTTATTCGTCTTTTTTACAGTTGGTTTGGCTATTCTAGGTTCTTTGCATTTCTATATGAATTTTTAAATCACCTTACCAATTTCTACCCCAAAAGCCCATGATAATTTTGATTGGGATATTAATAAGAATTTATAGATTAATTTGAGAAGAACTGATATGCTGACAATACTGAGTCTTTTCATCCATGAACCTGGTATATTGCCCCATTCTTTAAGTTTTCTTTAATTTCTCTCAGCAGTGTTTTGTAGGTTTCAATGTACAAGTCTGCACATCTTTTTCAGATTTTTCCTTAAGTAATTTACGTTTCATGCTATTCTAAACGGCATTTATAATTTAATTCATTATTGTTTATTGTTGGCCCCTCAAAATACGATTTTTTTTGTATGTTGATCTTGTATCCTGCAACCTTGTTAAACTGACCTGTTAGTTCTATTAGCTTTTTTGCTAGATTCCATAGGATTTTCCGTGTAAACGATGTTGTCTGTGAACAAAGACAGATTTACTTCTTCTTTTTCAATCTGTATGTCTTTCATTTCTTTTTCTTACCTTATCACACAGGCTAGAACCTCTAGTACAATGTTGAATAAAAGTGCCAAGAAGGAACATTCTTATATTCTTGATCTCGGTGGAAAATCGTTCAGTCTTTCCCAGTTAAGTATGATGCCAGCTATAGATTTTTGTTATTTTGTTAATCCTACTTTGCTCAGAATTCATATCAGGAATGGACGCTGAATTATGTCAAATGCTTTCTCTGAATCTATTGGCATGATCATATGTTTATTTTCTTTTTAATCTATTAATGTGACCTATGATAATTTTTTAGTGTTAACCCAACCTTGGATTCCTGGGATAAACCCCATTCATTCATGTATTATTCCTTTTATATTTTGTCACACTTGGTTTTACAAAATTTTGTTAATAATTTTTTACCTCTTTATTCATGAGGGATACTGGCCTGTGCATTTACTGCAATTATTGGTTTGGGAGGAAGGTTTCATCTACCATCTTGCTATTTATTTTCTATTTGTGCCATCTGTTCTTTGTCCCCTTTTCCAATTTTTCTACCTCCTTGCAGATTGACTATTTTAAAATGAGTCTCTTTTACCTCTCTCACTCTCTTTTTTACCTTGTTAGCTATAACTCCTTGTCATGTTATTTTAGTGGTTGCTTTAGCATTATAGGATATCTTTAACTTATCACAATCTACCCTTAAGTCATATTACGCTACTTCACGTGCAGTATAAAAACTGCCCAGGGGCGCCTGGGTGGCGCAGTCGGTTAAGCATCCGACTTCAGCCAGGTCACGATCTCGCGGTCCGTGAGTTCAAGCCCCGCGTCAGGCTCTGGGCTGATGGCTCAGAGCCTGGAGCCTGTTTCCGATTCTGTGTCTCCCTCTCTCTCTGCCCCTCCCCCGTTCATGCTCTGTCTCTCTCTGTCCCAAAAAATAAATAAATGTTGAAAAAAAAAATTAAAAACTGCCCAGCAATAGAATTTCACTTCTTCCCTCCTAGCCCTTGTGCTATTGGTGTTTACTTCTACATATCATATAAACTCCACAATACATTATTCTTATTCTTGGTTTATAAGTTGACTACCTTTGAAAGAGATTTAAATAATAATAAAAATAGCCATTATTTTTACCTATGTAGTTGCCATTTCAATGCTCTTCACTCTTTTGCGTCAATCTAGATTTCCCTCTGATATCGTTTTCCTTCTTTTTGAAGAATTTCCTTTAGCATTTCCTGTAGTGCAGGTCTACTTTTTTATGTCTGAAAACTTCTCTCAGCTTTTACATATATAAAAAAAGTCCTATTTCTCCGTTTTTGAATGGTGTTTCACTGGTAAATGATTCTAGATTGACACACATTTGTCATTTGACTGTTTCATTGCTTTTTCATTTGTATTGCTTTCGAGAAGGAATCTGCTGCCATCCACATCTTTGCACATATTTTCTTCTCTAGCTGTTTTTAGAATTTCTTCTTTTATCACCAGTTTTAAGCAATTTGAGAAAAATTTTTTCATGTTTATTTACTTTTGAGAGAGAGAGAAAAAGAGACAGAGCATGAGCAGGGAAGGGGCAGAGAGAGAGAGGGAGACACAGAATCTGAAGCAGGTTCCAGGCTCTGAGCTGTCAGCACAGAGCCTGACGTGGGGCTCGATCTCACGGACCGCAAGATCATGACCTGAGCCGAAGTCGGACGTTAAGCAATTTGATTATGATTTCTTGTTTCATGCACTGAAGATTTGTGCAGCTTCTTGGATCTAAGGGCTTATAATGTTTATCAGATTGGGAATTTTTTGGACATGATTTCTCCGAGTATTTTTTTTCTTCCCTCTTTCTCCTCTGGAGACTTCAATTACATGTTTCCACTTAATGTGGTGCCATGGTTTACTGACATTGTGTTTGACTCTTTCAAGTTTTGTTTTTAAGATTTGTTAGAGAGCCTGAGCAGGGTTTATTCTATGGTTAATTTTTCTGTACTACTGTTCCAAGATCTTTAGTACTGTAAACAATGCCCCGTGAAATTATGAAGTTTCCACTCTGACTGTTGAAAATAAACACTATTTCTGGCCCTGTGTGGTTTCCAGGCATCCTTCCTCTAATCCTTGTGGATGGGTCTTTCCCAGGCCTTGGATAGTTTTCTCATATGCATTCACTGACCGGAACTCAAAGAAATTCTCAGGGAAGACCCTCTGTAGATTTCTGGAGCTTTCTCTCTGTGCCATTGTCTTCACTGGTATTCTGCATTACCAACTCTGACCACCTTCGCTTCCCTGGATTCCCAGCTCTGTATCCTCAACCCAGAACATACGCTAGCCCACCTTCATTTCCTTTCCCTGCACTGTGGCCTGGAAACTCTCTCTGTGCAGTAAGGTGTGGGCTTACTCATAGGGCTCATCTCCTCTGTTCCCTGTTTCTCCAGGATCACTGTCTTCTGGTGCCTGATGTTGAGTTTCTTAAGAGCTATTGTTTCATATATACCTGTCCCAGTTTTTCAGTTGTTTCAAGTGGAAGGATAAACATGGTCTCTGGTATTCCATCTTGACTGGAAGCCAATATCAAATACATGTATTTTTTAAGTTGAAACAAAATTCACATATCACACAATTTGCCCATTTAAAGTACACAGTTTAATGGCCCTCAGTATATTCACAGAGTTGTATGACCATTATAACCATCAACTTTAGAATATTTTCGTCATCCCAGAGAATAACCTGGCACCTCTAGCCATCACCCCCCAATCTTTCCATCCATCCCCCCAACCTTAGTCAAGGTTTAGATTTGTCACTTTGGACATTTCATGTAAATGGAATCCTATGATACGTTGTCCTTTGTGACTGGTTTCTTTCACTTAGTATAATATTTTCAAGCTTCATCATTATTGTAGTATGTAGCTTTCCTTTCTGTGCCAAATAATAATCCATTATATGGATATACATATTTGACTTACCCACTTATCTGTTGATGGACATTTGGGTTGTTTCCACCTTTTGGCTATTATAAACAATGTTACGGGCTGCCTGGGTGGCTCAGTCGGTTGAGCATCCAACTCCAGATTTTGGCTCAGGTCATGATCCCAGGGTCATGGGATTGAGCCCCAATGTCAGGCTCCATGCCTACGATTCTCTCTCTCTCCCCACCCCCCCCCTCCCCTGCTTGCGCTCTCTCTTCCTCTCGCCTCCAAAATAAAATTAAAATAAAAATAGATAAATAAATAATGTTGCCATGAACATTTGTGTACAAGTTTTTGTACAGACATATGTTTTCATTTCTCTTAGGTATATACCTAGGAGTGGAATTGCTGTGGATGCCAACTCCAGTTCCCACATGATAACTGAATGTATAGTATTTTGAGGAACTAATTAATTTCTAACGCAGCAACAGTATTTTACATTTCTATCAGCAGTGGATGAGGGTTCCAAGGCTTCAACATCTGGACCAACACTTGTTATTATCTGTCTTTTTTGTTATCATCCCAGTAAATGTGAAGTGATATCTCATTGCGGTTTTTATTTGCATTTTTATGACGGCTAATGATGTGGAGCATGTTTTCATGTATTTACTGGCTATTTGTATATCTTTGGAGAAATCTCCATTCAAGTCTTTTTCCCAGCCTTCAATTGGGTTATTTGCCTTTTTATCGTTGGGTTGTAATTCTAGATACACATCCCTTATCAGATACATAATTTGCAAATATTTTCCTCTGTACTGTGGGTTGTCTTTTTACTTCCTTGATGGTGTCCTTTGAATCCAAGTTTTTACTTTTCATGAAGTCTAATTAATCTAATTAATTATTGATTAATAAGAATGTGTATTTTAAAATATTTATTTATTTACTTACTTATTTATTTTTAAGTAATCTCTATACCCAACATGGGGCTTGAACTCACAACCCCAAGTAGCATGCTCTACTGACTGAGCCAGCCAGGTA